GGGGGATGCCATAGTATGCAAAATAAGCAAAAAGCCAGACAAATTCAGATCCCCAGCTGTGCTGGTAAGGCTTTTTCTTCTCTGTTCTTTCAGGTCTGAGAAGTCAGAGCGCTCAGAAAAGCAACCATGAAAGCCTCCACCACATCACTTATTTCACCACGTGGCTCAGAGGAGGGCTTGTGCCAAGGCTATGGGTGTTTCCCTGATCCAGAGATGTGGGATACAGCGGTGCTCAAAGACCCTCACTCTCATTTTTTGTCCCCCCCCCCCCCCTCCCCCAATATAACAAATCCCTCCTCAGCCATCTCTTTGTACCTAGTGTTTTTGATGAGCATACAAAGACCACCCTAAACATCAGACTTTGCTACACCTTCAGTGTCTGCCAGCACTCCGGGACACCTGGAGGGGTGGCTAAAGGCCTGTGATGAAAGCCAGCCGCACGGCCCTCGCCAGCAGGCCTGCTGACATTCAGCCACGGCACTCTGATGTGAAGCACAGCTGCACCGACCAAAATGGTGCCCTGCACCGCCTCTGCCTCTTCAGTCCGGTCTGAGCATTTTACTGACGGAAGCAGCCTCTGCCCGGCTGCCCCGCAGACCCCAGGCAGCCCTCAGAGGGTGAGCTAAATTAGCTTCACCTCCTACTATGCTCTAGCCACGCTGCTAATGATGATGTAAGAAGCTTTAATAAGAGCCTGATTTGCACGTACCAGGTTTAACTTTTTGGAGACAGTTGTTCGAGGAGTCCTCCGGCAATGGGCACGCTCTTCTGGCGCCTTGGAGAACAAAGACATTCACAGGATCACTTCCGCAGTGCTGCTTTGGCAGATACGGACATCCTCAGATGACAGGGCAATTTATTCTCTCTCTTAGCCTGATCTTTGGAACTTTGCCTGTTTTTGGAAGGGAGTCCGAGTAGTCTTAAATGTTTATTGAGTTGACACCAGCAACGCTGCATAAAAGGGTCAGTGCAAACAGCTCTCCTCCGATTCTTAAGCAGCTTTTTGGCCACCGCTTTTTTCACACCTCAAGAGCTACCAGGACAGTCATAGTGGCTTTGCATATTGCCCAAAGGCAGCCCAACAGGTGAAATCCACCTTGCTGCTCCTTATGAGAAAGGAGAGGAACAGACCCTGATAAAGCTCTTGGGCATATCCACCTCATTATATGGCCTTCAAGGCTTCTACAGCTATGGATTTCTTTTCAATTTTCTGCTATAAGCTAAAATCATGTCCCATCCCAGGTGCTGAGCACATAGGTTATATGAATGCAAGTCATCCATTGGTCCTCTGCCTAAATACCACAGGAGAGCAGCCTACATGTGGCTGCTCCACAGCCTTTCCCATCCAACACCAATGGGTGGGAGAAGCGTGGCCGGGAATACCACTGCATTTCCACCAGCCTGCACGCCAGCGTGAGTGGATTCGTGTTTACGCAGGGAGCACTCACCGCTTACGGGCAGGGAGAGGTCCGAGGGAAGCCAAAGCTCGCAGCTGCAGCCCGCGCACTGCGAGGGAGCGGCAGTCGGGGTGCACTGCGTCATGTGTCACCCCCACCTCCCCTGGCACCGGCAGAGCCGTGGCCTCACGCCAAGGAGGCAGGGGCTCCGCTCCACCCGCTCCCACGTCTGCCTCGCCCCGTGCCTGTTGCTTTGCAGGGCTGAGTATGCTTTTCACCTCTTACAACGCAACGACCAGCTCCTCTCTTTCCATCCAGAAAAGGCAACAGCTCCCAAGAGTAGCTGAGCTGCCTTTACCCAAGTCAGAAAGGCGGGGGGGCGCGGGAAACAAAGCATGTGTAATTACGTGAACACAAGCCTACTTTATCCTTTGGAGTATCTAAAATTTTTAGCTACTTACTGTAAAGCATACAGCTGTGAATCAAAACCTTTTTCTCCTGAATGCTTGTTTAAGTTAAAGCCCTAGGATTAGCAGTGCTCTTTAAGTATTTTAAAATGGTATTTTATTAATAATTAAAAATTTAAAGTATTTACTCTAAATTCAGTTTTGCTCTTTCATTAAGTACCCGTCCATGACCAGAGTCAGGATTTAGCTTCAAAGTCAAAACATTTGTAGCAAATCTCTCCAAGCGCGGTGGGAGATTGAATTATCCCTGCAAGAAGCAGAACAGGGTTATATGGGCACAGAAACTAACTGGTGCACTCTCACATACACACACCTGTCTCTATAGAACTTGACCCTCACAGGCTTAGAGCGCCACTCATCCAGTGACATTATTAAAGCAAATAAAAGCTAACTACATAAAGTTCAGATTTTGGAAACAGACATCTATCAATTCTGATTTGATATATGTAGCTCTCTACACCTACTAAGTACATAACCGTGTGTACATCTGTGTGTACACAATGCACACAGGCTTACTTTCTTTAGATCCTCCTCTTCAAGCAGTTCAGCACAGGGAAATCTGTATTTTGAGGGGCTGAGTGTGCTGCACCCTTTTTTGCCCTTATCCTTTCAAACCTTCCTGCAGGTTCGAGCTGGGCACCTGAAACAGCCGAGTTGTCCGAAGCAGCTCAGAACAGACCTGAAGCACCATTTTGTGCTCTTCCCTGGCAAGAAGGCAGTTAAGGAGTTGTCTCTGTCTGTGGTACGGAAACGGAAACTCTCAAGCAGTAAAATCCATTACGAACAAAACAGAGAACTTCCAGGGAACGGAATTTGTCCGAACCTAACAACGAAAGATGAGCGTTTATCTTTTTTGTATTCGTATGGAAAGACATGGCATTCTTAAAATATCTTGATACTCAGTTATGAGTAGGACTATTCATCCTACACCCTGCTTCTGCACAGAGGAAGGGAAGAGCTAATAGCAGAAGAATTTTCTTGCGGCAGTGGGAACAACTGCATGATGATTATCCCCCACTGTGGTGGGATTCCAGCGGAGATCAAGGATGCCCTGGCAAGCGCTGGGGCATTACTACATGTTTGTGGAAGTCTCTCAGCTTTTATTAATCAGATTCCTGACAACGCAATAAAACCCTGTAGCAGAAAGCCACACTGATCATTCCTGAATCATATGAAATCATTCATCATTTTATGTACAAGTTTTGAGTTACAATCTTCAACTCATCAGAAAAAAAAACCCAAAAAGCCTAAAAAAAGCATTTTTGGCAGAACTGCACAGTGTACAGAAGCATACTTTCAATTACACAGTATCTTACAGAACACGTACTGTAACAAAAAAGAGAGCCCCGCTACCTTTTCTGAGCAGGCAGTGCCCAGACAAAACTGGATGTTTCGCCTCCGTTATCAGAGGAACAGCTTTAACTGGACGAATGAGTACATGAAAAAATTCCTGAACACTCCAGATAGTTTAACAGAAAAATAAAAGTACATTTGTAAACAACCTTAAAACAAAAGCTTTATGAAATTAATAAAGGTCAGTGAAAGTTAAACTGTCAAACTCTTCTTAGCCCAAACCACTATACTCTACCATTATGGGTTTTTTTCAGTCTCACACAGGTTTTGCCACACAGAACACTTCACTGAGAAATACTTTTCAAATTTTTTGAGGAATTGAGAAAGGGGCAATTTGAAGGCAAAAGGTCAAATTCCAAATTCCCTTTGAAAATTACACCTAACTACTCAGTGGAGCCGAGTTCAACAGTGCATGGCAGCACAGTACTTATTTTACAGTCTGAGACCCTTTTTAATGTAAACCCTGAAAAGTCGTAAGCAACTGTTAGATTTTTGTATCATGTACCATCAAGTTGGCATTGCATTCACTTTCATTACTCAAACTTTGCCATAAATTGACTTCTCAAATACAATACAGATTTACGATAAGCGTATCTGTTTTACGACAAGGCAAACTGTAAAAACTGTCCTGGGAAATGATTTTGTGTATGTAATTATCAACCATGCATCTGAAGTTGAGTATTAGTATTTATGCTGCTCTACTTCATGCTTCTGCATATGTTAAGTAAGCTGCTGATCACCGAGAGTGTCCATTTTGGTAGATGGACAGATGTATGAGAACAGCAATGCTTTGGATAACTCGTGCTATTCCTAATACTACAGTTATTTTCTCTGCCAATTACATTTTGCTATAAATATGTGTGCCCTTAAGTTGATCCCAATATCAGTTTCAGCTAACTAATCAAATTATCTGCTAAGGTTTTGGGAATGATAACCCTTCCTTTATTTAAATAAAATGAGAGAAGGGTTTCCAACTCCCAAAGGTTTGCCAACAATAGATTTATTTTCAAGACAGGATGAAGCTGTTCAGTAAACTGTTTGTCATCTTTGTTGTTCACAGAAAAACACAATAGTATTAATGTTTTTTATCAGTAGGCAGGAAGGGGAAGAGAAAATACTCTGAGGTTTTCAACCTTAATGGTTTTCCAAGTTCTGTTCACGGGCTCTTACAATTATTCATTTGAAATAAGCGTAAATCAAATTTCAGATTACTTCTATTTTGAGTGCCTTATGTAAGGAATAATTTCTCATTATATTTAGAAATGCCTCATTTTTGTACCAGTTAAAAGCTAATTCATAATCCAAATAATCAATCTGCAATGTAAACAAGTAGTTATTTTCTCCCACGTAATAATGGTAAATAATGACACTGATCATTACATATTCTGCTTGAGTCCATTAAATGCAATTCTTCAGCCACAAAGGCAGCAGGCATTCTGTGATGGACTTCCTTTGAACTATGTTCAAATGAATGGAATAACTGAGATTCCTGATGGAGATCTAAGCCATTTCTCTCATTTTCTTAATAGCTTCCGCTATTTGCATACTCAACTCCATTTCATAATTTGCTATTCAAAATAAATTCGTTTCCCCAAACCCTTCTCTCCCTATCTAAACCAAACTTCTTTACACTTACGGTAAATGCTTTTCAGCAAGTTGTAAGAAAACAAAAATCCAAGAACTGATATAAGGGAGTAAGTATTTAAAGTTTTGTATTAATTTGCTTCCTGAATTTCCTTCCAAATATGCTACAAGGACAAAATCTTTACAGGTTTGAAACACACTTTCACACACTTTTGATTCTTTCTCTCTTTTATACAAGGCATCAATTTTGCCCATTGAATCACCTTCACAACTTATGCCCAGTAACTAAATGAAACCACGTCATTCCCCCCAAGAAAGTAAAGAAAATACAGCCTTTTACTTCAAATATTTTATGAATGCAAGATTACAAGAAATATATTAGTCAAAATGCAGGGCTATCAAGCACTGAACCAAGGATGCTGGCATCAGTTTGCCTACCTTTTTGCATGTGGAAAAAATACACTACTTCTATGGGTAAAAGGCATCACTAACGCACCATGAATTACTCTGGTCAGCCAGCATCACCTCTGCAGCTTGGTACATGTTTTAAGTCCTGAAAATAATCATCATATTAGTAGTCTGAGATGAGACACTGGAACAAAACCATTCTTAAATGGGAAAGTTTTTGTTTTGCTCTTATCGAGGTAACACCAAAAACTAAAAACAGGATCTTACAGTTTAGCAGCCACTTTAACACTTGTTAGGCTAGCCTTCACACAAAGGAGCATGCACACAGCCACTGTTCTTCCTTTAAACTGAGGGCTGTTGGTTAATTCAAGTCACTGTTTTCTCACCTTACTCGATTAACCTGTTGAACTGGATGTCCACCATAGGAAAAAGAAAATTAAACGATGTTAAGTGCAGCAGACAAATACAGATCACACCAAGGAGCTAACACTCATGAGTTTTCATAATAAGGAATAATAATAACAATAAAAAAAATATCAGTCTTTTCTGTGCATATTTTTCATTTGAAAGGTCCCAGGAAATCATGATGTGCCTGGCCGTTTCTGTTGCTGATTTCTGATGACCTCTAATTGTTTTTTGCATTGCTGATAGTAAGTTGAGAGACTTTTGTTTTCATCTAACAGCTTTTTATGTTCCTGTACCAGACGTGATGTGTTTTGCTGGTCTTTTTCATCCTGGTCCAGTTCTGCTATTAGTTCTTGTCTAAAATAAAATAAAAGTAGTTGTCATTTATAATCCACTTCTATTTGTGTGTATATGACTTCGTATGTTTCAAATTAGTATTTGATTATCTGTCTGAATATTTTGTGAGGAAAAAAAAAGTTGACAAAAATATCTTATTCTTTAATATAATCTGGAGGAAAATTCTCTTCCAAATCAAATCCACATTTAAACTTTAAAATAGCTCCAAGCCATAGCCTCAATCTTTAACATTGCCCTTTATATAATGGCTTTCAGATGTAGTTCTACAGGTCACAGTAGAACATCTAAGGATCCACACAGAATTTCACAAATATATTCAGCTCTAAATTTGCTTAACTATAGATACACTTAAAAATTCAAAAGTAACTTAAAAGGCAAAATTGCCATAATTTTGGTAACTTTAGTGAAGTGCTGTTTTCTATTCGGACTGGAAGTTCTTAAAGTAGTGGAAAAGCAGAATCAAGCAAAATACTTTTATAACTGTCATTTCACTTCATTTATGCCATAAGTGTTCAATATGGTTTTTTAGCAACAATTTCAGAGGAACAAACACACTGATAAACTTGCTAGAAATTGTCCTGCAAAATTGATGTAGCAGTTTGTTTTACTATTTGTTTATGAGGTGACAAGGAGGCAAGCTGCCAGCAATATTTTAGCAATAAAATAGTAGAGGAGACAGTTTGTGTTAATTAATTGTTGCCATATGGTTTGTAACTACAGTTAAACTTAATTATTCTATAAAGATTGAACTAATAACTAGCTTAACCAGCATTAAATTAATCAATCATAATACTATTATTTAACACCTATGGGCAATTATGTTCTGACTAAGAAAAAAAAGTTTGGGAAAAATACGTATGCAAACTTTCTAAGAAAAAAAAAGATAAAGTAGGAATCTAAAGGTACAAAATCAACAGTTTTGAAACAGAAACACGTTTTTTATCTAATTTATTGACTCTTAGGGACAACAGAAACAAAATAAAAATTAAGATCTTCAAGCTAGCTTCAGTATCTCCTCACAAAGTCTAAAAATCCTAGTTTCACTTGAAAAAAAAAATGTTCTCGGGATGCTAAGCCACAAGAGAAGAGATGATACGACGTCGATCTCACAGTAGCTTCTTTCCCTTTTCTGTGTGCTATTTCTAATGGTTTATATGTACATTTTTCTCAGTAGCTATTCCACAAACACCAAGGCAAGCTCCTCATTAACAACTGGTTGCCTGGAGTGGTTCAGACACTGGTGGGTAACAAGCCAGTTATTTGGACTAGCATGGGAGTATATAATGACCTCTCAGAACTGCTCCTCAGTGTCAGGAAATGGAAATGATGAGAAGCAGAGCACAACAAAACATACTGCAAACTGAGGTTCTGAATCAGCAATAACTTCAGCCCTAATCCAACAATACATGCAGTTGCTTCCCTTGTATGTGTACACAATGTAAGAGGAAAGAGATTATTTCTAGTGCACAAGGATAAGAAGGTACCTAATGGCTTTTAAGTATTAGGTCCTAAACCCCGGTAGAAAAATATAAGATGTGTGTTGATAGGACCGATAAGACAATGCAATGCTTGATAAAGTCAGATACATATGATAAAAACTAAATGCCAAATGAGTACTTGATAAATTCTACAATGCATTACCCAAATGATTATCCACATCATATGACTTAAAATCTTTTACTGGACAGCGTGTGAAATAAAATTCCAAGGTTCCTCAAAAGTCCAGGTCTTCCATTTGAGATGGTACAAACAAACATTACTGGAATGTTACATACAGGGATGTGCTACACACTTTATAGTAGGACCTGTCCAGAAGAAGAGTCTTCATATTGATTAAAACTTTCAATTACCTGCTCTGAATCTCTCACCTATGGTGAGCAGCTCAGTATTTCTGAGATTAAGGCTGGAAAATAATTATGCCCTATGAAATCTTGCTTCATAAAGGCAGAAATAATAGTCACAGGTAACAGACTTCAGTAAAAGCAATGTACGGAAGAACAGAAAAGGTTCAACACATTTCACTTACTTCCTCTGCAACAGCAATGCAATTTCTGTCTGAACTTTCATATATTCTTGTGCCATTTTGCAGTGCTGTTCAAACACAGCCATAGATTCTTTGGAGTTTGGGCACGGTGCTAGAGGCTGAAAACAAATCAGACATGTTAAAAACTAATGATCTGGTATCTCAGTATATAGCGTGTTAGAATGTCTCTGCAATGTATTTATAACATCTTTTAAAAACCAGTGAGGTTTTAAAAATAAGTGTTAAACCTTGCCCTGGAAAGTGTTACTGCACTGATGTCAAAGTTAACTCAAACCTCAAATCCGTAGTTACTAATCTGATACTCTCTTTGTCACAAGGAACAAAAATCAAAATAGTGTTTTAACCCACACACAACAAATAAAGTGAATACAACAATTTAATTCAGTAACACTCAAGCAAATAATGTCTTATTTTGACAGTCGAACTCAGCTTACGTTTGGTTTTAAGGATCATGTTTCCCAGGGCTTGTTTTTATTAGCTTGATCAAGTCTCAGTCAACCAATCTCAGATTACGTAATATATTTTTTTAGCCTTGCTCAAAAGTTAGACAGAATATAAACACAGGTAAATATGCGGCATTGTATTTTGCAGCCCAAAATTCATGCAGAAGAATGAAATGCAAGATAAAGTATCTAATAAAGCATAGATTTATTACCTGTAACTGATGATCTAATGTAAGATATGCCATTGGGATGGAGTTATCCGACCCATTGGTCTCTGTAACAACATCAAGAAAATTTTAATGTACATTCAGAGTTCATGCTATTCTTACAGGACAAAACCAAGAATACTAGATCATTTCACAATACACAGTCTGAATGTGGAAAGGCAAATGGAAATAGCAGCTTTCCAATCCCAAGGCAGATGAATCATTTTGGTTTTCTGATAAAGTTAAGAACTTCCAAAGTATGGTATATCACACCACGAAGAAATAAAGGTTATCATCTTACACTTGTAGAAGCCATGTAACAGCATACGTATTTTAAAAATACTATTTTTGTACAGTTTGCAATCACATTCTCTATTTATAAAAAAAATTGCCATTTCATTCTTGTTTATGAAGGATCAGCCAGCCAGCCCATGCATCTAATGATTTTAAAATTAGAAGCTGTGCAAACCAGCTCTGCCAAAATAAAATAAGCACAACCTCCTGCTCAGTTTTGAAACCTACTCCCAGTGAGGCCTGTAAGTATCTTCCTCACAACATGCTCTAGGACCACCTCTTTGCTCTGTAGAGATACTTCGAGGGTAGCAAGAAACCCAATAACCAATCTATTTCTTGGGCCTGGCTTCTCTCTTCTTACACTGCAGTTACTCTGGACTTCTCTAGTGCTTTCATTCCACATTTAACATGTTTCTGAATTCTTACAGGTCCTACCTTTTGGTAGCCCACGATCTGGGGATCACAAGGTTATGGTTAAGCATGGTTAAGCTTTAAGAGACATAGGAGTAAAGACACATGGAGAAACTACGGATTTTGTAGCTGCATTATTCCTACTAGAGGATTATATGGAGGAGGGTAGGTGGGGAAAAAAAAGGGGCTGCTTACCCATACCCCAAAAGCACCTGCCACAGAGTAGTCGTGGTAGAGAAACTAAGGTGTTGCCCTCAAAGACTATGCTATCTCCAAGAGCAGCTTCAAAAGGAAACAGAAATAAGAGGGTGGGAATGGAGAAAAAGTGGTTAACTGTATGCTTGTAAGGAAACTGGAAGGTGGTTAAAAAAAAAAAAAAAGAAAAAACCCCTAAAACCACAGACTTAATCACCACAGTATCTTAAATGAGAACAATATAAAAATTCCTTCGCTATATTAGACTATTGCCATATATGGATTACTGCTACAGCAAAGGAATTACTGCAATGTTTCAATTACACCAATACATGCAAAATACTTCAGATTACATTCCTGAGCACTTCAGCACTGTGTCACAGAACTGTAACTTTTCCTGTGATTGACCAGATTCGGCTGCATCCTCATTTTATCATTTTGCCTCATTAACTTAAAAATGTACCCTCTTTTACAGAAAACTGAAATTATCTCTCTCTTTAGAAATTCAAACAATTCTTTGTTCGTGGACTGGATAAATATAACAAGAAAAAATCGACATGTGGTACATTCTGTATTTACCTGAGTATAAGGTGAGAGATTTCTGTGGGCCAGAAAATGGACCTGACTTTTAGCTCGAGTGCTGTGCTGCATTTAAGGCCAAGACTTGGGACAAACTGCCTTTGCACAGGCATACGATCAGCAACTTTCAGTTCCCAATGAACTATTGACTGGGTAAGAGCTTGCTTCCGTGTGAGGCAGCAATTCCCACAAGTACTCACTGCCTAAAGCAACTCTGGACCCATGCTACACAGAAGAGGCTTTGGGAAATTATGAGTTACAGGATGTAGAGTGCGATTAGGGAAAGTGACGATGGACAGAAAGAAGAAAGCACAGAAGCAAAATACAAGAGTATGTTGCCCTCCTCCCAACAGAAGAGGGGAGAAAAAAAAGAAAAGTACGCATCTTACACACAGAATCACCTTACATTTGGTAAAATACAAGTTTGCACATATCTATACATATGCTGTGCAAGAGTCAGTCCACGTGCAAGTTTCCATTCTGCAGTTGGTTACAGGAAAATAACCCAAGAGTCTGACCAGCTGAAGACGAAATGGATCACAAGAAAAAGATTTCAGAATTTGAGGCACTATGAGGTACCAGCTTGAGACTAAGTTTAAGATTCAACACATACATTTTGGCAACAAAAATGTAATTCTTCTTTATGTTCTAAAAATGTATTTGTGGAGATTAATTGTTTTCATGCAGTCCAGTACTGGTTCTTTTCATAACGGAGTGCATTGTGACTTTTAAAATAAAATTTCAACTACTAAATTATGTTCACTCTTAAACGTATTTTACAACAAAAGAACAGCGATGCTACAGCAGAAGTATTTACATCACATCTGCAGACACGCTTATATTAGTTCATTTAAAAACAGTAATATTGTGTGCACATGTACATTCTACACAAGCAAAATTACAACACAAATAGAATTAATGTATTCCAGCTGATATTCACCTACAGAGCATTTCATTCCAGAAGTCAGAGTAATGAAAGCTTTAACTGTGCATTCATAATAGAAATGCACAAGACATTGCATTTGTCTTAAGATGTCTATTCCCCTCATTCCCCAAAACCATACTACAGTCAAAAACTGGTGCTAAAAGATCTGTATTAAATAGTACTATCACTGCATATGTACAGTACTTTATTACAAGCAAAATACTTACAAGTTTATGTAACAATATAATCTACACAAAAAAAGTTCTTGAAGCTGGTGGGCAAAACAAAGCAGTAATGCAATGATTTAATTTAAGCAGAACTAAGGTGGACTGTGAATTTCACTGCTTAATTTTGTTAACGTCTAGGCACATACCCCACACCATAATCAAGTAAGTATCTTCTATTCTTTACAGGCAAAAAGTTAACTAATGAGCAATAGATTACCTGCATCATCAGGCGTCCATGGATTACGAGCTGGCTTTTCAGAGGTTGGTCCCGAGGTAGTGATCATTCTCACACTAGGACTAGATGATCTACTGCTGTTTCTACTCTCCTGAAATAATAACAGAAAACTAAATAAAATGATGAGAAAAGTAAACAGGAGATTTTTTGAAGGGTTCATTTAAAAAAAATTATTATAAAGCAAAATAAATGTGAAGAAACTTGAAGTTCTAAATCTCCCAAATACCCTCCTCTCCAAGCTTTTACCCTGAAAGCCCTCCAGATAGTTTCATAAACTTCACATGCATTGCAGGGATGAATTTATCCCCATTTTTACTCCATCTTCACAATATAAAAAGAAATTGATACAATTTGGCTGTTCAGCATAATAAAAAGCAGTGCTAAACAATGTGTTCAAGATCTTTACATAAAAGCGTGACACCACGTCTAGTAATTTTCACATTACCATTCACTGAAATCTAGCAGTTCCATAATGTAAGGAAGATATAAAGTTTTTTTCTGATGTCTAATCAATAAATGGAACTACATTCAACTATTACTGAATATATAGTGTACTAATTTACAGTTTTCTTCGGGTTCTTATGTTAACTCAGAGGTTATGTGATTCATCTCCAGAAAACATGAAAAAAGTGTTTAATCAAAAAGGATCAACCAATTAAAGGAAAGCAATTAGTAAATGAGTATATCCTCTCTGACAAAGCAAATTAAGAACTAAAACAAAATTCTGTAGTAAGTTCCTTTATACACAGCTTGAGTCCTCCAATCCTTTTGTTTACCGAAGTGCCAAAATGTAATATACACTTCATTATTTTACTGAGGTTCTTTTTCAGAATTATTATTTACAATATATATTATTGTATTTCATATACCCCCTCACTGACATAAAATTAACACAGTAAAGGACTTAAGACTATAAAGCCCATTGGGTTTTGCAGGAAAAAATGAAGTAAAAAGAAAAGACACTATTAACATATAACTATTTTCAATACGGTGTATTTATCATTAAATGATTAATTAAATGACCCTTTCTCAAAAGGGGCACTCAAATATATTATCTGAAAACTGTATTTATGACTCTAATTTCCAAATATACTACATTAATTTAATTTTTAAAAGCCAGAATTTCAGTCAAGTAACAATCCAAAGAGTAACAAGTTTCTACACACCTAAATATTTATTATTTCCACTGCATTACATTTCTCCTGTAATTCTCATTAACCATTTAGTGGTTTATGTTAGTAGCCAGAAAAAGGGCAATAAACTACTGTAGAAATAAGCTGATGGATATTATCAGGATGACGGCATCACACATTTTGAAAAAGCCTTTGTGTTGGAGTCCTTGTTGACATCAAGCAAGGTTTCAGTTGCTGAGCTTACTGCTTACTGTCAGTGTCCTCAGATATCAATGATAAACACACTCTGCTGATGTGAAAGGTCAGAAGACAGAGCAAGCACTTTTAACAGTAAGTCCTTTAAGCAAAGGGATTTGTTGAGGATCTACGACTGAGAGCAAAGGGCACCTGAGAAGTACTCTAGTTACAGTAACTTCTCAATGCTGTACTAGATCGCTTGCTGTACCAGATTGTTTTGATCCATCAACAGAAAAAAAAACATTTCTTTGATAACACTATTTAGACAAAATTACTAGAGATAGAAATGAAGCATATCTAAAAAGCATTGGAAAGTCCACGGGAGGTTCCCAAAACCGAACACCCATTAGGTTACAGCATTTGAGCGTGTGTCGAGTGAGATCCTATAGGCCTCCTGGACACCAGCCCCTCTTACAGGTAAGCTGGTGACTGTTCTTTAGCTATCAGTTTCTGCTACCCTTTCACAGGTATCTTTTCATCCTTGCTTCCTCCAGGTATCTCAGTACGCTCAACCGACTTGTTATCAGGTCACTCTCACATCGTCTTTGCCAGGTGACCAAACCCACATGGCATTGTTTGCTTCTTAGCTTCCATTTCTCCAGGACTTAGAGTCTTTAAAAGCTGGTGTGCTCTGAAGAATAACCCCCTCAAGTTTTATTTAAATAGGCAACCCAATTTAAAGAAATCATTGTTACTAGCCCTGTCTCCTCATCTCCTCATCTGTGGATTTTATCTTGCTGTGAAAGGGGAGGCGCAAAAAAAAAGCGTATCTGTGACGAATTTCACAATCTCACGGACAGAATGATTCATCTGTATACTATCAGATCCCCCCAAATTATCACACTTAGGTTGCATGCATGTGGGCATATACATTCTGACCTTGCATCTCAACTGTTCAATACAGTACGTGGTTTTCTTTAGCATATTAATTTTTTTTCCACTTCAAAGTAAGAGTTATGAAGTCCCAGCAACAGTTCTTTATTAAAAAAAAAAAAAGGCTTAAAAGAGGTAGTTTTGATATTACGATAGCACTGTGAAAGACGATGTACCAAACCAACCAACCCAATAAAAGAAGCGCAGGCAAGGACATGGATACCTTACCAGGCATCTGATCACAACCTGCAGTTCTTGAGTGATTATGCCAAATATGTTTCTCAGTATCTGTATAAAATACCAAATTCTGTAAACACTCCACCCAGTGTAAACAGCAGGTTTGCTGTGTTCCTTCATGCCCCCCAAAACTATGGCTGCAGTTCAGAGTCTGCACATCTGTTTCTGTGCTACAAAGGTGTTTGGGCAGGAGCAGTAGTGCTGGACAGATGGCACAATACAATGTTTTCAAATGCATGTACGGGCAAACGGAAAGGCAGAAGAAACAATTCAGTGCAAAAAAAATCTATGTGGAAAAACGAATAGAGCACCATAGTATATGGATGGAAACAAAGGAAATTTAGCATTTGACTGTACAGAAGAGGGGTGCACCAGTGCTGCTCATGTCACTTGGAGTAAGGTCCAGCCTAAGGTCACCAAGCACTAGAGGAATCTGTGAAAAATTAGACTTTAACGTGTTATCAACAATGAACCACTCCAACAGCTGATCCAATGAGAGGAAACCTTTGGCTTGGCATATTTTCCTATCTATCTAAACTGTTGATGTAAAAGGGTCAGTTGAGTACCAAAATCATCTGCAAAACACTATTACTGTCTGCTGTCATAACATCAGTAAATGCAGTACTGGAAAATGCCTTCAGTGTCTCAACAACATCAAAATAAGAATCATCACCCATACAAACCACACAAAAAAAATCTTCTAACAGTACACAGAAATAAAATATACATACAATCATAAAACACACAAGAAGGTCAGATTAAAACAGACCAGCAGTAAAGCAAGCAGACAAGAGTCTTGGTCTACCATTTCAGGTAAGCACCCCAAACTTTGGTATATTTATGAAGTCCAGCGTTTTCCTCCACCTTAACAAAAATTCTATTCTGACTTGGAAAAACCTTACCGATTAAAAAAATAGTTATAACAGAGTCATTTTCTATTGACACAGTCACAATTTTCAGGAAAAACACGTTTAATAAAATGATTTCCTATCAGCTTTACTGTGTCAGTCAAATAGTTAAAAAAAAAGCAAAGCGGTACTGTGGCCATCCTTCAATTTTGAGTGGGATAGGGGCTTACAAGGGCTGGGTGCGGGAGTGGAGTCACGCAGTGCCGTGGTAGTTTGGTGAAGCAGGCTGCGCCGCAGGGTGGGTGTAAAGGAGGATGGAATGCGGGGAAGAAGGATGTTTGCAACAAAGGGAGGGAGAAGGGGATTTTCACACTAGAAAGGATAACCTATATACGGTACAATGCATATGGGGAGATACGATAAACTGACCAGAGCTATGCTAGTCACAGCTGTTTTTTCTGCTTTGGGTACTAGATTGCTTACATGGACAGCAGTTCAACATTTTTAATAAAAATTCAAGGCAGTGAGGTCCAAAGCTATAGAAACCCATGATGAGTAATTTTGAATCTTTTGCCATAATTACATTGTGCTTGTTTTCTTCATTGTTTTCCAATTTATTGCTTTGAAAAATATACAAACATCTGTATGCCAAAAGTTAGCATTAGTTTCAGCAGACTTCTCTACCTCTTCTCACACCAAAAAGGGGATGAAGATTCATTCATTTGTTTAAATGGACAGTGCAAAAATTTATTCTAAAGTAAATTTTTCACACCTGATAAAATATTACGTTTTCTAGATTTTATCATACTATTTCCAAAAACTGCAAGATAGCAGATAATTGTAATCCTTCCACTTAGATTTCCAATATGTACACTATCAGAAGCAAGAAAGTAAAATGTGAATCTGGTACTTCTATACACCCTCATAAATACTTTTCAGTATCCTCCTGGTCACAAGGCCAATTTAGCAAGAACAGCCATACAAGCAGCAGAACAGCTTTCAAAGAAAGATTATTATAATAGCTATTAAGATATGAAGTAAATGCTGAAATTCTGCATTTTAAAATACTAACAATTCATTAAAATGAACATAAGAATTTAAATAAAAAAGCAATAAGCAAATCTATTTGTACACCAATCAGTGCAATTTGTTATAACTGATGTATTGTCACTTAATTTCCCCCCCCCAATTCTTGCATAATTTCAGTTCTACAATTAACTGAATAGGTTAATCTGTTTCTTTACTAAATTTTGCAGACTCATTTCTATCTAAAAAACCTGTCTTCTTTGAAGATATTAAAATGTATTTAAGATTCATTTGTTATTTTCTGATAGATGTACAAAGTAAATTCTTTTACTAATAATACCTGGGGGACTGATGAGGTTTCTGTGGCTGTCACACTCCATGGAATTAAAGAAGGATCAAATGTTGATCTCCCTTATAACTACACACCCCAAAAATTACCACCTATTTTAGATTACTGTTTAATATGGAAACCTGATTAACCTGATGAATATGCTAAGCTCCAGTTTCCCACATCCAAATAACAGCAGTGGTATCAAAATTGCCAGTTCACACTAACAACCAAATAGCCTCTGTGAATTAGTGAAACAGACAATGAAGCAACTAAAAACACAAAATTAACACATCTGAATGAAGCATGAGCTGCACTTTTCTCATTCAACATGTTCTTACTTTAATTTTTTCGTAGGTTAATTTCAATTTTATGTAGCATACCACTGTGTCTCTTGCCATGGCACTTACGATACCAGAAAACAAGCTATGTTATAACAAAATATCTTTTTGAGATAGCCTTTTTCTTTTTAAACAAAACTTTGTGACAGCACCCTCCTGTAAACCTTTCACAAGAAATGGAGAGATACAACTGTAAGTTATTATTTAGGGTTCGGAGACTAGTAATAAATACATTTATAATACTGGTGCACATGCTTTTTATTTTTATGCAAAAAGTGAGTCTAATGTATGTATAATTGCTTCAGACAATCATAAATAGTAATTACAATTGTGTTCTATGTATAGACAGGTGAAAAAAGGCTTTCCCTGTATAACATCTGCCCTCAGCCAAATTAAGTGGTGCACAAAACCTACGTGTACATAAAAATGATAAATTCTGCATGAGCTATACAGAAAACACTTCTCATCTAGAGCTCATTCATAGACTACCCTCATGGAATCTCATTTAAATGCAATACAAATGACACTACAGTCTGTAAAGCTTCCACATCATTTCTACGAAACCATCAAAGGCGAAAATTTCCAGAGCAGTTTCCCTGTACAGATTTGGTGTTGACTTTACTGAAAGATAAAGCAGGGATCAGAAAGACGTTACCTGAGTGGACTCTGTTCCAGCAACACTAAGATCTTGAATGGATCTGCGCCTCTGCTGTCCGTTTCCTGCCAGGGAAAAAAACAAAACAAAAACAAACCAGTGAAATCTGTTCAGAGCAAAATAAGAAGGGTGCGACTGTTGCAGAGGAGCTTGGAATTTGTACAAATCCACAGAGAGAAAGTGAGAGAGGGGGAGAGAGAGACAGCTGCAGAATTTTAACTCAAAACGTGCTGGCCTGTCAACAAAAAGTATACCCTAATACAATAACCACTCCTACCACGCGAATAGCTGCTGCGCCCTACTCCACCATCTTCTGTCACATGTGTTTGGTCAGGCTTAGTACCCGGGGCAGGAGCTGATGACGACATCTATTTCAAGTGCGTTACGTTATGGGGATTTCTAAAAGCTAGACCACGAAGATAACAGGCTGCCAGCTTTAACCTGTTGCTCTTTGGCATGCTCAAGGAACACAGCAAGGACTTCTGCCCGCGTGCCGCTCCCCTCGCAAAAATTACGACGCGAAAGCGCTTCCTTCTGGTCTTTGTCTCCTTCAGATTAAGGAAACTATGCCCTATTCTCATGCTCTGAGAAGTGTGAAAAGGGGACTGTTCAGCTAAATCACATCTCACCATCAACCTACTGAGCACAATGCTGTAATCTTTTCCTCTTCTCCTTCCACCTGTTAGCAATTATCCACTAGTGACAGCTACATAAAACAGTTCAGATTTTAACACTGACATGCAACCAAAGGCATTTCCAGGAAACGAAGTCTCCTTAAAAATAAAAGGAGATTATGCAACGGAATCTCCCCGGCTACTTTGATTTTTATTATGGTGGTTGTTTATATTGTCTCTTGAGAGCAGGTCAGCTGTCCAAAAGGAAACACCAAAACGGCCCGAGTAACAGCTGACAATGCTCAAAATTCTTGCTCCTCACTCTGCATTACGTAACCCTCCCACTGGAGGGGAGCAGCCGAAGCCCATCCCAAGGGGAGCACCCAAAGCCGGTCCCCCAGCCCTGGCAGCCCCTCACCCAGCTGCCCTGCACGCGCAACAGCCAACCCGGCTCGCTCCAAGCCCGTGTTTTTAACCTTTTGGACCTTCTTATTCAGCATCATTTCCATATGACTCTACAGCCTACCTTGACAGGTGTTTTGATTTGCAACAGTTACCACAAAAAGGTAAGAATATTTAATATTAATCAACACATATAACAGCATCGTACTTTAAATTCTGAAATAGAGTTACTCTTACATGCAGGAACACATTAACACAAAACAGCAATACAAAATTCTCAGCGTCACTTCACCTGTTTGTCACAATATTTTACAGTCTAAAACTTACAGAAAGTACTACAATAAACAAGCATATAAGAAAATCAAGAAGGAATCTGCATTGGGAAAATATTTTTTGCTCTGACTACAAATTAATTTGAATTGCAGCTTTTCTGTGGTCTTGCATATTTTGCCTCTGAAATTCAGGCAAAGTATATACTCACCTAAGCAACAATGGCTACATTATGTTTCATATTTCAATATCAGAAATAGTGTGAATGACAAATCTATGTCAAAATTTTTGAACTTATTAATTTAGAGTTAACTTTGTCACTACCTAATCAATAACAAACAAGATTATACATTTAATAGAATTCTGTGCTGTGGATACTTCATCTGGCTACCACAGCTCATTTCAATATTCAAGATATGGGTGATCCACCCACAACTGATACAAAACTATGTGCACGTTTCATTGAACAACACTGTTACAAAATTAGCTCAGCTGAAATAGGCTTGCAGAAATACCTGAAATTCTCATTTCAGATTAGCAACATTTGTGAATTTAAAGAACCCGGCACATGTGTTGCTGAAATATTAGAACATGGCTGCCAAAACATTAAAATAATCAGGGTGGGGTGCAAGAAAAAAGAAAATGCCTTGGGGGGAGAGAGAGGGGCCAAAACTACCGTGTTGCAATAAATGAACACCTTTAAATGAAATATCTTAAAGTTAGTAGCATGAGGGAAGAGCAAGCTCTATTAGGCAATGCCATTTTAATTAGTGTAACTACTGCAGACATCTGGCAAATAGCTTAGACAAAGCAGAAACAGACTACAAATCAACAAATACTTATTGCTCCAGATTCAAGACAAATTTCAATCGAAAAATAATATATACAACATATAATCTTTATTTAAAATGATTACTGCTACTTCTCTATGTTTTCCCCTCACAGTTTTGATCTTGTTCTTACCTCTATGTTCACTTAAATCTATTTTTTCCTCATTATAAAAACTATGAGATTTGTAAATGCACAGAAGTTAATATACAGTAGCTTGATGCACTATGTCAGGATTTCAGTGGTTTACAGGATTGTAAGGTTAAAAATCAAACATCACCAAAATACTTTCTGGCCTCAAAAAAACCCCCATTTCACATACTGTTGTTTATTTTTTAAAATGAAATTCAAAAGGAAGAGGAAACTTCTATTGTGTGCTATCCCACACAGTCCAACAACAACAAAAATAATTCTACAACTTATTAATGCTTTTGATCGCCCCCCCCCCAATCATCGAGACCAGCTATGAACACTTCTCCCTGCCCTTTAGCAGATACTTGTGTCTCCTTTACGTTTTCTTCTTTGCACCCAGTACTCTCTGTTCCTTACACACCTGCAAGACCCAAACCTCTCTCACAGTGCAGGATGATCAGTGAACGTAACAGTACCAGACATTCTGATGAAGTTAAAACATTGATCTGAATTGCAGAAGAATGAAGTGATCTGGGGAGACAGGGTGGGATTTCTGGCATATATTCGTTTTAAAAGTAGATGGAAAAATTACAGACCTAAAGCATCTATAATTCCTATCCACTTTCTAAAGACACTCAACAAAATGCGTCTATCCTGAGTAATCACTTACACTGTATCAATGCTAAAAATCAACACTGCGGCAGTTTGAGATGACAAAATTACAAAGCCAAATGCATGCATGCTATATGCACGAGATGTCGAACGCCGCCACGGAAGAAAAGGCTGTACTTCAAGGTATATTTGCTAGATGCTGCTTCGCTGGTTTGTACTGAAAAGGTGTTCTGATTATTTTTCTTGATCATACTACAAACTAAAGAAACAAAAAATCTAAGCATAAACACACAGCTCTTAATCCTTTTGTACTTAATAGGGTTTTTATTTTTCATATGTATTTATTATGTATTTATTATGTATACCATATGTATTATACATTGAGAAAAATACTGATACCTCTAGTGGCTATCTGGTTGGAGGATACCACCAATGAAAACTCACTTTCTAAATTGTTACACAAAAAAGGAATTAGTTGATCCATTTTTCAGCTTTTAAGATGTGTAAGCTAGTAACACAAAACACCATCCTAAATGAAAGAAAGTTCTATTTGCCCTTATTTAAACTTATTTAGAAAGAAGAGCAAATATATACAAAAAACTTCTGCTTCCGCCAACATTTGGCCTTCAGCTGACAAAAATTTGTATTTTATGACCTCTGTAGCACAATCAGTTCATGGATGAAAAGCAGCTGAAGCAACACATCACGAAAAACCCCAATGACAGCAGACGTAGTACTCATACTTCTAAAATAGCCCTGCCCCAAAGCAGCTGACTCATGGTAACATGCCGCACGGTGCCTCCCCTCTCTGGGAAGCAGCTGCTTCACCATGTGCTCAGCAGAACTTTGGGCAGCAGCACGGAGTGGGTCGGCATTCACGTTGCTCCTGTGATGGAGACGGGCTGCTCGCCCCACTGACCGACCGGTGTGCCCACAGAAGTTCGGAGGAGCGGGGTATGTGGCAGAAGTGCTAATGGGGTGGGATCAAGACAGAGGTGTCAGTTTGGGGGTCTTCGAAATATAACTGGAAGGGGAAAAGTGCGTTAAGAGGCCAGGACTGAAAGCCTTGTGCTGAGAGAGTATTCCTTACTTCCTAGGAAACAGGTGAGAAATAGGCCACATTATATTGTCTTTAAAAGAATAACTGAGAAGGTACTTTTCAATAACTGCTTTAAGTATACAGATAAATTATTTCTATTTTCTGGGCAGATGATCACATTCCTGTCAATTAACTTTTCTTCTGGCCTTGGGATTCTTAAGGGAAAGCTGTTCTAACAACCAGAAAACTTTTAATATACAGCCAAGACTTCTTTGCAGACAATTTAAATCTTATTTTCCATAGTGCTAATACAGTCTTTGAGCTTAAGCAGTTCTCTCTCCCTAGTCTTTAGCTGCAGATTCATCTACAGAAAACAGTACTCATTTCTCAGCTTTCATTTTGTGGACTAAAAAAAGCCATGCTTTCAGATTCTTCTTTATACTCTCCATACCATCCTAGTAGCTCTTCTTGCTGTTATTTCAGAGTGCGCATGTGTTTCTTTTATATGGCAGCCCAGAACAGTATGTTGAATTCCTGATTAAACATCACCAAGGGCCTGTAAATAGTGTTAGTGCTTCCTTATCTTTCCTGGAAATGAACCCTAAGATTTCACAGTTTTTCACAACTGCATTGTGTTAGTGGCTGGGATTACTCTGCATGAATCTGCTATGGTCCCATGTCATCTTATTAAAAGAAACTGTTGCTAGCGTACGACCCACAGTGCATGACCCTGGATTTTACCCTATTTCTATTTTTTTTTTCCCTAGTCACAACAAAATTCACCTTATGTAATACTGTAATCCTCCTCTTTATGCACTGTTGCTTCTGATAAAGCATTAACAGTGAATTTTGTTATCACTTAAGACAAATACCTTAAAAGTACATTTTGAGAAAATTCATTAATGTGCTTGCTCCAATCCTATACCTTCTTTCATTTCTACAGGTCGCTGTTTCTCTCACATCTATCTGAAATTCACCTTGGAATTCCCATCCTGTCAAGTTCAATTAATTAGTCCATGAGAAGAACATCTACCTGACTTCCCCTGCCTCAATAAGTAAAACCAATAGACTAGTACAATCTGTTTTGTGACAATGACGTGGCATTTCATTTCATTGACTTTTTAATTATTCTCTAGAAGTTTCAAGGTTTCCTGGAAGCCTCAGTGTTGTTACATGCAGACAGTGTGCACAGACAAGAGGCACTCGGATACCTTCTACAGTTTATTTACCAGGCTCTCACACATGTTGGCACTGCAGAATTTGACAGATCACTTTCTCTTTCCTTGCTCTCTCAGCATTTCATTTGTGTCATGCGAGGCCACGACCATTTGAAAATTAGAGTGGAAAGCTACACTAGTAAACTTGCTTGCTGATTTGTTCGCTTCAATGCCAAATAGGTTTTCTTTTCATGGGTAGTGCTGTTGTTCTTTGGAATCTACTTTTTGACATTCTGTATTATTATATGTAAACTTTATAAACTTATTTGAAAGAAACTTTTGTACAAAATTACCTTTGGCATTCAACTTTAAAATACCAAACAATGTCAAGATTTATAAGGAAGTTTCCTCAGATGACACAAATTCAGAGTAGGGGGTGAACAGTTTTTAATGGATCTCTACATCAGCAACGGATACTACTACGTGGATCCCCTGCCTCTGACAAATCATTTTGAAGCAACTTGCACATCGCTAATGGTATGCCCATCATGGTCTGCGAATGATTATACTTATTTTTAGGCTTTGAGAAGTATGAAAGAAAGAAATCCACTTTGATTGCAAAAAAAGGAATGGGAAAGGAAAATGATGTGGTGCTAACTAAATACAGACTTGGGATAGATGAGAATTATTCACTAATGTCCCAACCGAAATTACCAGCTATGGTGCCTGATTATACTGATTTTCTTCCTGTCAGAAGCCTCTCCTAAAAATTTTAGTTTGCGTTAACTGAAACACAACAGAAATACCTCATGCACACACATTTTACGTCTAGAAAAGTACAGGCAAATGTAAGAATTACACAGATTAAGCTTAAATTTTTTTTGATCACAAGTATCACGTGGATTTGAAATTCTATATGTAATGTATCTAAGCTTTTTTGTTCTACTAATATTTGATTAAAAATGGGTGCTCAAACACAACAAAGATCAGGGCAAGATAATCACCTAGACAGGAATTTTTCAAAGTAAGTCCATTTTCACCAAATTTCACCAAAATTGTAATAGAAGACTGCATATACAGTTTTCCTCTATAAGGAGACTCTTAACATCAAGATCATAAAAGAAAGAATCTTTTATCAGTAAAAGTAAATTCGAACTAAAAGATTGGATCCTTTTCTGAGAGAAGTAAGTTTGTACTAAAATACCATACTCCTCTTTATAGAGACATGATGAAAAAAATATTGGGATAATTTCTAGTTCTGTTCTAGAGCAACTGGAGCAAGAAGTATTTTTAGCAGTCTGATCATTATTCTGGCATCTTAATCAATTGACCCGATCACCTGGTCTGCGATACCTGGTATGATGATCTCAGGGACATCCAGAATGTTGCCAAATGAAGCAGTTTTACGATGGCCTCGTTTAGGCTTGGAATAGGCTGAAAAAATACACATATACAATACACATGCAAAACACTAAAATGGCAATAGCAAAATTATTAAATTCCTAATATTGCATTTTTCATAAACTTGGTTAAACTATAATTCATGCAAAAATGTGTCATGCAGAATAAACTGCATTGCCTTCCACTCATGCTTACACATAGTAAAGCAACTGTTAAAAAGCAAAAAATGCGGAATTAGCTGTCATTACAACACCGTGTAATTAGTTATAGTTAGCAACACAAAAGTCAAACACAGAAAGCAGCATGGCAACAAGGAAGGGAAAACCAAATGTAATTACCCAAAGAGAGAACAAATTAAATTATTTCAGATCACCTGAAAATTCAGAACAAATTCTTGATTGCCTGAATGTATATTACATTTTCTCTTTAGTGCTGGGTACAAGCTATTTTATAAACAAGATTAACAGTTGGGTACTTCTGTTTCTTTAAAACACCTCCTTTTAAAGGAAATCTCATCTGTCTGAAAAAATGCTTATGCTTACTACATTTGACAATCATTCCTGCCTTCCATTCTTTTGTCCTATTAGTGAAGATTTTTTGTTTTGCAAACTGGCTATCACTACCAACATTTTCATTTTTGAATGATGTTCAAGAAACATATACTTTGGAATAAAATCTAATCATACATTTTCAATTTTTATTTTACTACTTGTGTAGTTGAAGATAAATAGTTCCCACTTAGAGAAAAGTCTGAATATATATCCCAAAGGCAGAACATTACAGTATATCCATCTCAATACGTAAAGGTGTTGTTCATTATGTGATTTACTCTTACATTTGATCTAGTAATAGATGGAACAAGATTAAATAATTCTTGACCTGATTTACTCTTAACAACAGCTCCGTTCTCACCCAGCACACAATTTTTTTCAGGTTCACAGCATATTATTTCTGTCACACAGTTAACAAGATTAAAAAAAAACACCAAACAATACAGTGCTGTTTCAGCTCTTTTTGAAAGTTATGGTCAGATGGGTTTGACCTCATTTCTAGTAGTCCACTACTGCCTGAAGTGGTTTCTTAAAAAAAAAAAAAAAAAAAAAACAAACCCAAACCAAAGACTAGTATGTTCAATATATATGTTGTTTTAAGAAAAAGAAACCCTACAGTCATAACATCAACAAAATCTTAAGAGTATCCTGAAAAAATAATTACTATTCAGAACAATGTACTTAAGGAAGACAAACCAGGAAAATTAAAAACTCACACAAAGGAGGGCCGAAGGTTATCTCCACTAATGTCAAAAACTTACATTGTCTTTACTTTAGAGTGTCAGTGACCAAAGTGAGCCCTGACATACTTTAAAATAAAACCAGCATGTTATTATTATCAAGTAAGTACACAGCTGCCTTCTGTGTTAGGAAACCTTTAGAGATATTTGGGGTGAGATGTGCTGCACAATCATCCAGTCAAAGACTGACAATACAAAAGACAAATCTTGGAAGAAGGCTTTAAAATAAGAACATAAAAGTAAAAAGTGTTCAGGGCAAGATGAATATTATTTCATGAGTAACTTCAGTATTTAGTAAAACAAGATCCTGGAATAATCATAATACAATGAAGAATAAAAATTAAATAGTCATGGTGGACAACAAAGGCAGAATATGACACATATTTCCATATTAATTACAGCTACTCGATTACCTTAATTTTCCAATTGGTACAAAAATACTAGAACAGCTAAATAACCCTGGACTAACCAAAGTAATTTTGTTTGATTATTTAAATCTGTGGTTATATACAATAACAAAAAAAAGTTTCGCATATGAAACTTAAAACCTGAAGTTTGCACAGACTAACAAACAGTATCTTTGATCAAGAAAAGAGACAAGAAAGTGTTCACCAAGTATACACACTTATATTAATTCTCTCTTCTGGAAAAAATCAAGATTGCTTTCACCATAAAATTATGTATTTATACTTACACATAAACTCCAATTCAGTCAAGGATTCAATGTTTAGACACAACAGTTTATAGCTACCTGAAGCAAACCTGGCAAAACACCTGTAGCTTTTTTTTTCCTTTTAAATGAAAGATACCTGATTAATTGTTAATCTGATGAATAAAATCTATGTTTCTCTTTCTGAAATCTGTCAAAGTGGATTTCAAAACTTACTTGGGAACATGCTGAACTTTAAACCCACCTCTTAATTTCAAAATATTATAGGAATAACCTTGAAGGAAATCTTATTTTAGAAATAATTATGCTAGCAGATATGGAATAACATTATTTCAGATGCAAAGGAGAAAGTTGTGCATTTGGAATAGGACTGATATTTAGAAGTCTCAATGATTTTTTACAAAGGTCAAAGTCTAATTCAACAAAAGTAATCTTTTCCACAATTGTAAAAGTACCTAATTAAAGTACTCAACTTTGTTGAGTGTACAGTCCCGAATGAAGGCATTTCCCCCCACAATTAATAAAGGGCAATAAAGACCGCATGAAAAAGTCAAAGTGTTTTCATGCAGCTAATGGTATTAACCTTCATTAAGACTATGCATGTTCTACATCTTCCTTCCTCCTTTCCTTCCATTCAATTTCTCAGTCTAGCCCCAAAACATCCTTAAATTTTACCTGTGATGGAAGCTATTCTTGCTTCTATTTCAGACATGTCAGCACTCATCCTTTTGGCTTCTCCTGAAACAAGGGCTGATTGTGGTCGCGCGCGAACATCTGATAAGCTCTCCACACTGCTCCCACGAGATGGGGGTAAACTCAAACGGCCAGGATCACCCTGTTTCAACAGTGACATTTTTAAAAAGAAAAAAAATTCTGCAGAAGCCCTTCCATGATATGCACAGTATGTAGGTTAAAAATATATTTCTATAATGTGCATTTTAAAAGTGACAAGATTTAAAATTTATAATTTAATACATGGTAATAATTTAGCTATTATTGGCATATAAGAACCAAATATCTGCAACTTTCAAAAGAACTGAACTTTATGCAGACAAAAACAGAGTAGAATTAGGCCAATATTGTCACAAGAGAGTCTTTGTATTTTTTCATCCTACTTGAAGTAAAACATAGTGTTTTCAAAATTCACATGAACGTTTAATCCTTTCATGTCCTACCAATATTTTGGTTCTAAATTAAGGCAGCGATTTTAAAATGATTTTTTTTTAACCTAATGAATCCCTTTAAATAAAATGAACTATTTTTTTTATTTCATTGGAGATCTTATTAGAGCCTTCCAGTTTACCTTTTTGGAATCATTCAGTATTTTTCCATCCCGTTTCATGTTCTTTACCTCTAACTGGGTCCAATTTTGTACTGCTTTTGAAAGAAGACACTAATGTTCCGTAGCAGTTACAACACTTATGTCCATCTTTGCTCACTTCATTATTATGGTTCAAAATCACACGTGTTGTCTTACCGGCTGCTTGGCTGTATTTTTCATTTGCTGCGCCAATTTTGACTCTAAACGTTTAATAGTGTCATTGGTAGAAGCTCCTTGGAAGTCACTTGGTTCCATGTTAGCATCACTCTTGTTACTTGTGTTTGTAGAAGTGATGTCCATGAATGAACCTAGAAACCAATAACAAGTAAAAACATTCGAGGATTTCCGTTAAAAATACTAAAGTGCATCGCTTCACTTGAGCATTCTCAGAACCCTAACTTTGCTTTAAAGCAACACTTTTGAAAACTTTTAATGAAAAGCAAGCTGCAAGACAGATCTATTAATGTAGAAAGTAAAAGGAGTGAAAAAAATAGAATACATTACTAAGTACTAATGATATTCTGAAGTGAATCTTTAGCTTGGTCTGAAACTGTTGGGGTAGGTGTTGTATTAACAATACAACCAGCAAACTCATTCACAATTAATGACAAAGTCCATCATTAACCACAGAGGAGAGCAAACACCTGAAAAATAACAGACAATATCTATTCACAGTTTAAAGTGATAAATCGTATCTTAAAATCATGTGCTGAGGGGTGGAGAACAGCTAGTAATGTCAGTACAATGCTACATCCGAAAAGATTTTGTAATATACAGGTCACTAAGATGCAAAGTAGCGAAGGAAACTTTATCCAAAATAACAGCAATTTGTTTGTGGACAGAAAACAAACCAACCAAGCAGTGGAAGCTGAAGACACCCACGAGTAAAAACAACTGAAGTGGGAAAACTGTACTCTAAAAAATGAGAAGATTGAATGATCTTTATTTTCTATTGTTCAAAGTATTTCTCTGAGGGTAAGACTATCTCAAAGCCTCGCCCACATTTTGTTCCACTCACCTTTCTAGTGATTTCCTTGCACTCAATTTAAATTACTGTTATTTACTGCACCTTAACAAAAAACAACTGCAGGTTTAAATTGTGTAGATCTTAACTAGAAGCAGGTGCAACTTTCAAGAAGTCAAAAATTTAAAAATGCCAACTCCTAAACATTACATATGAGTGAAAGAGCGTCAATTGCTAGCAACCTTCACGGGGAAAAAAGCAAGAGATCTTAAACCTGGACATTTGCAGACAGCTTTTATTATAAGTTTGTTCTCCATTAAAGGTACACTTCAGCAAAACCAATTGGCTGAGAACGCTAAATGCGATGTGGTACAAGGTCTTCACAAAAAAATAGATTCCTGCCAATCCTTAAGATTTTGGAAAGGTTACCTTTCCCAATTTGAGTAAAAAAGCAATATGAGAGTATGCTTTATAAACCATCTGCATCATTTCATGTTGCTGTTCTTTTGTCTTACTTATACTCGTATACCTGTACTAGTGGCAGAGTTGCTTTGGCCTTCATCTGAATACTGGCAAGGATACTGCAGAGGTTCGTCGGCTCCTGGAAAGTACTGTGAAAAAACAGCAATGATTTGATAAAAAAGTAATTAACAATTGTTTTAAAATTATTTAAATTGCACCTAATAAAACATTTCATAAATATAAAATAGATATTATGTTTATAATAATTTATTTAGAAGATAAATGCGTTCTTAGTAATACATTAAAATACATCTAGGAATACTTTTATTGATTTCCCCAAATCTGTTATAAGTTAGTATACCTCTCTCATAAGGAGAGGAATGATTTCCCTTCTCTACTGTAATAATTCGATAATTTTTGTCAAAAAGAGAGAGAAGGCAAGAGAAAACATGCAAGACCGACTTCAGAGTGTGATAAAAGGCATACCTTTACTAATTCAATTTTCCAACTTAATAGATTAAGAAGAAGATTAAGATTAAGGTACTAAAATAAGTTTTTATACCCGCATCAAGTGTGTCATTATTTTAACAATTTCCTCCATGGATGGTCGTTGCGAGGGATCCTTGGACCAACAACGGGTCATTAAACTTTCAATTGGTTTAGGTAAGTTTTTGATCAGTGGTGGCCGAGTACCTGTAATTGAAATCAGAAAAACCCCTTAATTTGTTAAACAGACTATGAGACTCAGACTATGATCTCTCTCCAGTATTTTGCTAAGTACATACAGGGAAATGTATAGTTAATTGTAGTCTGAAAGAACTGGCCTCTACTCTCTTACAAACAAAAAACTGACCAAAAAAAAGTTCCTTTGGTCTACATACAAGTTACAATTACATAGAAACAAGTGGAAAGAAAATGAAACATTTCCCTCAGTACTGGTTTGAATAAATTCACTGATTGACCAAATACAACATACTACAATGACTAATGAATATGCTACCACTTTCTGAAGAATACAGCTCTAGACCAAACTATGAAGTACTAACAGTCTTTTGTTCCTAATGCTGTACTCACAAGGAAAAAAAGGAAAAAAGTATTTTTGAGGGTTGATTTTGCTCTTAAAAGCTTCCTGAAAAATTATTAAGCCCTGGAAGTACCAATTTCAGGTGACTTTTTCATGGCCTATACACATTTTTTAATTATGTATTTTACTTCTACTGTTGTGTAACTATTCATCTGGTTTTTGGTTCAAGTTTCTATTCTGTTTACTGTTTCAACAATGAGTACAATTAATGGACATCCAGCTGTGTTTTATACATGAGATGTACTGACATTTTGCATAGAAAGCAGCAAGTATTTAAAAATGCATTACCCATAACAAATAAAACATGAAGTGAGTGCCATGATGGTCTGAAGTGAGATGAAGCACACCAACACTTGCTTCCCCAAAAAAAAAGAGAAAAAAAAGAAGAGGAGCAAAAAAAGAGAAAAAGAAAAAAAGAGAGCGCAGTTTTTAAAGGAAAAGTAGGGAACACAAAGGAAATTTGTTTTCCCGTAAAGGATACTTCTGCACCTTACCGAGGCTTTCTGATTTATGACTATTACATTTATGCTTACTTTTACAATTAATGCTTCTATGCAAGGCACTCATCACTCCTAATCTCAATGACTCGTGTCCTTGAAAAACTGAAATGAAGAATCTCTTTCTTCATTTAAAAAAGCCCTTTGCAAACACCTATCTTTGTGCATTACTGTGACTCTAATGCTCATCCACCCTATCACTGTCTGCACCTTTCCCTTCTTCATTGAATAGGATGTCTGTGCTCACCTTAACCTTCTACCATTTGGTACTGAAGCAGTGACACTCAGGCAGAGTACTGGCCCTCATTGCTTGTTGGTTAATTACACCTTCCAAGCAAGTTCATGCTTTCTTTCAAGTTGTATTTCACAAATGGCAGAAACTCTTTGCAGACACTCACTGAACTACCTCACTACCATTACTTTTTTTCTTCTTAAAACTCTGCTTTTCATGGTATCTAAAAACACACTGTTAAAAAAGTTGCACCACTAGTATGAAAATACTACAGTCTACTATTCAGACCAGTGCTGTACCGCTGCTTTCTTTTGTCCATTTGAATCCAACCATTGCCTCCTGTTTATATTCTAAGGTCCTGAAAATCTGTTCTGTATGGTACCTAGCACAGCAGAGTCCTGCTCCATGTCTGCAGGTACCCAGATAGGTCAACCAACTCGAAAAGCTGAACAACAACAAAAAAACAACCCCAGATGAAAAACAAAGTAACATTTTCAATGTCTAATGGTCCTACAGGAGTTTGACAGTTTCCAGCATTTCCGAAGACAGATCAAGTTACTTAAACTCACACTATAGACCTACTGTAGATGCCCAACTAACAAAGAAGAAGAAATAAAAAAAAAGGAAGGCAAAAGAAGGGAAAAGAAAAAAAGACGGGAAAAGAAAAAAAGACGGGAAAAGAAAAAAAGACAAGACATAAAAAAGAAAAAAAAGAAAAAAGAAGTGATTTGGTTAATAAAATCATCATTCACGAATACAGAGGGGTTATGGGGTTTTTGTAGCACATGATTCAGATGACTTAAAACAGAATGTCGTACCAAAAGAACGTGTCTTTTCCCTTGTTTGCTCATACGTTAAGTTACCTGTAGTAGGAAATGCAAGCACCATAGCAGCCAAATAAGACAAAAACCACATTGACACAAAAGTAAGAGTGTCTTAACTATGAAGTCTTTATGACAAAAATGCATATTTAGTGAATTATAAAACAGAAAACCTAGTAATTTAAAGCTGCACAGTTAAGAGTGTTCAGCAAATGTACAGGTCAACTACACAAGTTCAAATGCAGGGAAGTATTTTCAACTCACCATTATGAACTGCCCACATTATGCGGAAAGCTGGACCACCAATCTCATCAAAAGGTTTCCTACGGGTGATTACCTCCCAGAGAATAATACCCCAACTGAAAACATCACATTTTTCACTGTAATTGCTACCTGGAAGAAAGCCATCAATAGAATTTGTCTCTTTTCTATATAGCACATCAAAAAGAAGTAGTTTTCAGCTGATAAATAGCTCTGTATGCTTCCTTTCACTTCACATTTGTTTTGCTGAGAAAAAAACAGTTTTCTAAAGCTGGCTGATTCACGCTAACTTAAGTCTGAAATCATTTGACAGTAGGATCGTTAAGAATGCCTCTCTCTGGAAATGAATCCTTTTCACTTGGAGTCATCCTGAAATGATAAAATGCGTCAGTTTTCTTATATGAAACACAATTTATTAAGTTTCAAAGATCTCTTGCATCCAGGATTTAACTGACTGTGCTTGTTTCCTCTAAATATTCTTCTTCAACTCACTTCTTCCATTAGTCACAACATGCCAGCCAGTAACATCTGTCATATCCACTGCTCTTTATTAATTACAGGTCTTTAGCAGAACTACCAAGTTACCACCTGAACAAATCCGCAGATTCCTCAACTCCTCACAATCTTATTTCATCGCTGTTTATTATTTTTGTTCTTTTTATCATGTCATTACCTAAAGTTCTTTGACCATAAGTTCAATATTTCTAAGACTCATGTTAAAGATGCAGAAGACATGTAGGTGATATAGAATTATGAATAAAAATGTTGAGAGACTGCAAAGAAAGAATGTTTGCTCTGTAACCATAACTCATGCAAACACTAAAAAGAAATGTGAACGGCTAATGGCATGATAATAAATGCGTGAATATAAATTATGGAGATTTGCTCATATGTCCTCAAACAAGGATCAAAATTGGCATCGGGTGGCCAAGAGATGTTTTTGTTAATTATGCATAATCACAAAGCATCATTGAGACAAATCATTTCATAAGCAGTGGAATTCAAGAAGCCTAGCTTCATGTGGATACCCATCGTGTAACATCCAGTTGCAACCGGCTCCGCTACCTACGATCCATCTTCCTCTGCCCCACACCTCCGACAAACCGTGCAATGAAAGCAGCATGTTCACAGGCCAGCTCTTGCAGACCAGACAGACAGGCTGCAGCACAAACCACACGTCCTCTCTAAGCGAAGGCACTGATGTGGACTTCTCCCAGCTCCTGATTTTACAAAACTCTTTGAGAACTTAGCATCTCCAAAACTCTCTCCACTTGTATCAAAGTAGCTGAATGTGGCTAATGAGTTCAAAAGTTACTGAAGGGGCATAACAAAGTCAACTTTATCAGTCAGCTTATTTTCAAAGGTGCTGGGAAAAAAGGTATCTTAACAACGACAGATTGGTAAGGGAAGCAAAATGGTCTCATCCACGCAGCCACAGTACTTCTGTGACACACAGCCTATGACAGGGCAGCAGTGTTATTTCTACTCTTTGAGCAAGGAAATTCTATTTTGTAACTAAGAAGTCTTGGACTAATTCTGAAAACTCAGAGACCAAAAGAAGTGAAAGAGTATTCCGTATTGTTTCATATGTGACAGACCAAAGTAGGATAACAGACACAATCATTCCCTGATTTATCCAACTATCCCAAAGTAATTTAAAAAGTTTCTTCCAAAGGGAGTTCCGACATTGGAACACTTGCTCTCTTTCACTTTATCTTGACCTAAATGATATTCATTTAGATTGTTTGTTCTGTACAAGGCTTTAGGTGCTCTCATGTTTAAAATGGGGGGGGGCGAATCTTAATATTAAGGCAATTACTACAACGAGCACTCAGCAATCTACAACAGGTACTTCTCGTGCTTTTATTGTTCTAATCTAAAAACGTTAGTCAGTATTAGCATTTATTCCATTGTTGAATTCTGATGCAGTAACATAAGCAAACAAAGTTTTAACAATTTTGACATTTGACATGGTAATTTTAGTAGTCTAATGACTGTTTCAAGAGTAATTTGATATGTTACATCATAGAAGTTACTAGATTCCTCTCTTTCCTTGATACTTTGTATAAAGATTTGTGTCATTATCAGTAAATGCTTTCAGACAAAAGTACATAAAACCAACTGTAAACTGAAGACTTTTGCTGTTGTCCAACAATAAATTTGGCATAATAGATTTCTTTGTTCTGCCTTGCTGAATTCATACACCAGAGGAATTAGGATACGCACTGTAAATCCCTACTACAATATACTTATTTCAAAATCTGGTTTTGATTAAGATTTTTCACTCAAAAAACTCTAGCTTTAACATTGATTGTCTGACTGATTATTTCCAAAAGAAAAAATTATCTCTAATTTATACAGTTTAATATAATAGTAAACAAATGTTAAGGAAAAAAAGCAGTCCTAGCTAGAGTTAAAGAAATAGAGTAGGTGTCTCAATATAAAGTGACATAATGGAAAATTTTTAGGCACCAGAATGAAGTTGGGCGGGTCCTCTAAGCTATATGCGCAGAAAAAAGAGGCACCTTCAAAACAAAAGCTCCAAAAGTGGTGTTCAGACGAAAAAACCTCCTGAAAACATATATGGATATACATAATTTGCTGCTCCTCTCTGGAATAAGGACAGTAAAAAAGAAGAGGCCACTTGGATCCAGAATCTTGGAAACCACTGCACTTGCCAAATATATCAAAACCATGACACCTACTTGCTAAAACAGGAAGAGGATTTCTCCAGACCACTCTGCTAATCGCAATGATAATTTAAGGTACTGACTGGCTAAAACGTGTTTAATTTGTCCTAATATTGACTGGATTATTTCTCTGATAATCATGCAGCAATTATACCTATCTGATTATCAAGCGTCATCAGTCTTCCCCAGCTACGTTTCAAGAAATAGCTTGTTTTCCTACTTCACTATAATAACTGTTAATAACAAATTCCTTGGTATGTAGGAAAGAGGACGTACATAAAATCTCTAGATTACACAAAAAGCAGACAAACGTGGAGTTACAACAAAGTGGGGGACTGAAAATGAGGGCAATTATGCTCAATTCAGAGACACTAACAGGGAAATTCTAAAGATAAAAGCTGATCAGAACAGGGAATGAGAGTAATGACAGTGTATTTAAAAGTCAGAAGAGTTTGAAATCACTTGAGAATCTCGGAAACAGCACAGTCCTGATGAAACAGTGCTCTGGCTGTTTTTTACTTATAAAATAAGAAACAGGAGCTGTCTAAAGCTACTTCTCATGTGAATCTCAGCAATGACACAAATACAGGTTCCACATGGTCATGTAATTAACTGTCTAATACTAACATGACAGAGTCAGTTCAGTGCTGCTCTTTGAAACTCTGCATAACTATTTGGCATTATACAATCATACAGATTTTTAAATAAATGTTAGAATTCTGCCAATCCTCTTTCAGCTGTTACCTCAAACTTTAATGCACTGATTGAAACAAAGTAAGATTACATGATGCTCTTCTTTCCTACACCAAAATCACAGTTGCAACCCTAGGAAGAACATATAATATTGACACTGTAAATTATTGTTACCTTCAAAAACTTCAGGTGCCATCCAAGCAGCACTTCCCTTATTGTTGGTCATGTGTGTTTGAATATCACAGGCTGTACCAAAATCGCAGATTTTTAGAACTGTCCCCCCAGCTACCAAGAGCAAACTGTGAAAGGAAAAAAAACCACAAAATAGTAGGATGAAATAGTCTGGTAATAAACCATCTATCATTCTAATATAGTTGAATATCTAAGGCTTTGCTTCTCAGTGCTTTAGTTTTAGAATTTGAGAAATAAGTAAGGTCACTTGTGCCTTATCTGAACATGTGAAGTATTTTAAAATAATCAAATATATATTGTGATTTATTAATCTACATGCTAGATTTTCAATAAATATCTTTAGCCATAGTAAACCACTAAGCATATATCGACAAAATTTGTACTTGAGATGCCAGAGGCTGGAAAACAACAAGTGCTGTAGCAATTTTACCAAAAGAAGAAAGATCAAGACTCCCATTAATGTCAGTCAATGCAGCTATTTATTTAAATGAAAGCACTTGAAGTTACTTGTTAACAGCTCTCAATCAAAACTGGGGATATAAGAAAGAATTCAAGATTTAAAGTATGGCTTCAGGTTGCAATTTTATCTGGTAATAACTGCAGGCTACCACCAAAAGAGGGAGTGATCCTACTGATCCCCAAATCTGTTTCCACCTAATCTGTGGAGCCAGATCTGAAGCTGTAAAATGAGTCAGATCAACAAGCTGACCAAGGAGAACTATTCACTTTTGTTTCAGTGGAAAGTGATGGGAGATTCTGACAGGGGTAATGGAACAGGCAGAAGAGGGTAGAGGAGGGGGCAGAGAGCTCTAATATATCAGATTAAATATGACATTAAAACCATGCAACCAACAACCCCCCCCACCTAACGTTCTCTTCTTGAACACCACAATCCATTGTAAAACTGGGGCATTTAAATGCCTCTGATTAGAAGCCCAGTCCCTACCAAAATCCTCTTCCACGATGCAGAGCAGGAGCAGGACTTTTTTCCAGTTTAACAGAAAGTGAGTACAGTTTATCTCCTGTACCATGTACCATCATTCTGTGACTGAAGTTTCAAATGCGCAGCTTTCATTTAGAACACGGTACCTTCAATAAAGTTAGTATTTCTTCCAAACGCAATGAGATTATTATAAATGATCTCAAATTCCAGTTGTAAGAAAATATGAAACATGAGCCATAAACCTACTTTGGTGGTTTCAGGTCTCTGTGAATTAGAGCCTTTGGTTTCATACTGTGGAGATAGGCCACTCCTTGGGAACACTGTAAACACCAACTCATGGCATGTGCAGCAGTATAATGAGGCAGAGGTTCAGCACCATGCAGCACTGCAAAACAAAGGCACAAACTAAAAAGAACTTTATTGCATATTACAACAGATACAACGGAGTTAACAACATACCAGTCAGAAAACTCTGTGGAATCTAAGCAATTATTAATGCCTCATCACTGCAACTGAAAGTATCCTTCTGCAGACTGTCAAAATAATGGAAATGTCAAAATATTTTTCATTTTTTAGTATGCTTTTCGTAATTTTTAATGTTAAAATTCAATAAGGTGTCGCTTGTTCTCAGCTATCCCTGGTAAAGCCTTTGTTAAATACTCAGGGAATTCACAAGTTTAGGAAGAATCTTTTTAGATGTTCCACTGGAAAACCTTGAATGACTTCTATAAAACATAGCAAACTAATATGAAGAAACAAACCAGTGGATTGAAAGTGTTTTTTAAAAGCACACTCTTTTCTCCTTAAAATTCTTTTAAGAATTTAAAAGAACCACAGAATGGTTGGGGTTAGAAGGGACCTCTGGAGGTCCACCAAGCAGTGTCAAGCAGGCCATCAAGAGACGGTAGCTCAGAACTCTGTCCAGGTGGCTCCTGAGTATCTCCAAGGATGGAGACATATGTACGAAAAAACTTTGTATTTTAGATCATGTTTCCCTAACACTAGCACTTCAGCTCCAGGAAGACATTATGTTGAAGTGATACTCACCATTGTACAGAGAACCTCCTTCAGCATATTCCATAACAAGACACACCTTTGGGGGAGTGGGGAGGGGACAAAAAATAAGGATGTTTTAAACGTGGGTGGGGAAAACATCTTCTGTAAACTGAAATCAAAGTTCTTTGAGAGGAACTGCAAAGTCTCCATACCTAAGCTAATGGACAATAAAGGGTCAGTTTGAATGGTACATATTTACGTGAAACAGAAATCAGTTTTATACTTAGTCTGATTGTAAGTTAGAAAAGAACGACTTCCCCCCACCCCCTGCCCTGAATCCTGAAAAGCACATGCTGTCTTCAAAATGCAATTCATTTGCCTTTACTTTTTTTTAGTGGCTTACGAAAAAAATGAAATACCACGTCAAAAGAATTTCACTAGTAAAAAGAATTTCACTAGAAAAAATAGGACGCAGCATTTTTTTAACCAATTAAATAGCCCATACTCGAATTAGCTAAGGATACATCTGTCCTCTCACAATACTTGCTTTTCTGCTTTGTGGGACTGTTTGCAGCTGTGGCAGAAAGAAAGCAAATCTTGAAAACGGCATATATGATAATAGGAACTGATTTACAATCTATGAATCATGTGTTGCTAATGTATTTTCTTTACGTACTGCTGACTTGCAATTAACAGAACTGTAGATATGAATGGCACTACATATCTAATACACCAGATGCCATTCTCACAAACTGAAGTATAACCGGTGTTTAGAAACAGCTTTGGGGTTTTCTTGAAAGAATTTATTTCTCGTAACAGGGGAAAGAAAAAGATAAAAATTTGAAAACCAACCTACATATCTGAATATTTCCTTATTATGGCTAAAACATACAAAATGTATATAAAATACACATTTTGTAAATTGATGCTTGCATATGTTAAGCTAGTCACCTTCTGACATACTGACAAAGCTATAACTTACTGGGTTTAGACAGGCTCCATATAACTTGACAATATTGGGATGGTTTACTCGTGACAGTTGTCGAAGCTGCAAAACAAACCACACCTTAACTCAAACCATGGGGAAAAAAAGGCTAATGCTTTGTTTTCATATCTGTAATTCATACACCACAACAGCAATTACAGTTTTACATGCTTGCATAACCATAGATGGTGATTTTCGAAATTACAAGACTGATGTTCCTGTTTGCATTTTAATTTATGTGATTAGATTTGTGTCTAACTGGAACTGTACTTAAAAGAAATTTTAAAGAAATTAAAGAAAGTATTTTTTTCACAGTGTAGTAAAATCACAATAAGCACTGTGCAACTAGGACCTCTACAGGTTCGGTGCCCTTCCTGGAGCCTCCAATTTTGGAATACCCGTTGTCTGACTACATAAACAATCTGAATCAGATTGGCTTTGTTCACAATATAGAAAATCATGGTTCTAAAAAAATCCCAACCAAACAAACAACCCACAACCCTACAAAATAAGCCAGCCAGTTTGATATTAATATGACATAGTTCCAAGAACCTATTGCTGCTTGTATTAACTGATGATCAGACTATTTTACACCAACTTTTTCTTCACCAGTAGGTAGTAGAAGAGAAGGAAAAAGGCATTTTTTTTTCCCTTTACACAGACTTCTGGGGAAGCTTATGCTGTTTGTCTACAGAGTTAACGTTACTTTTTCCGTCCACTTCAGAAGTTTTAAAAAAACAGAACAGAGTATTACAATTGATGCTTGCACTGTGTAGGGTTTCCTGAATCCCAATAATTACTGAAGTATTTCTGGAATTATCTTCTCGGATCTCTTTTGAACACAAAAATGCTAAGAGACTGATCAGATCTACTCAGTATTAAATTAGACTCAGATTAATAACATCAAAAACTTTCCATGGTAATAAACAACATATAAATACTTACACAGAGAGACCTATTACAAATATGCTACCTTTAACCCCCTTCCATGTGTTACGTTTAGTTCCAAAATTGAGAGATTTATTTTTAACATATTTTTGTATATCTTGAACATCCTAGATGATTACTGACTAAATACTAAGCAGCATGTCACAATACCTCTAATTTAAATTACATGGTTAACTTTTGATTCTAGAAAGCATTATGTATCTTGGGAAGTTTATCAGTATATCTGAACTACTCAAGATTTTTCTGAAGAAGTAGACATTGAATGCAAAGAGCTATTGCCCTTAAATGTGTTGCATGTATTAATAAACTTATACCTAAGAAAAAACTAACAAAATAATTAGAACTGCTGAAAAAAATATGAAACAGTTACAAGTATGGAACTGATTGTTTGAAGCACTTGCACTGTAGCCCCTGGAAACGCTAATCAGCTCTGGGATTCTGCGGGGTATTTCAGCTGCACCCTGACTCCACCCTCGGAGCTGGTGCTTCTGTGACCTGTGTGACCTCCTCTCTCCCCCCTTGCCTTCCAGTTTTATGGAAGTGAACTGAAGGAGCTGCAATGTACTCTGACTGATGTCCTGTTCTGCATGACAGGGGGTCCAGGCCTGTACTGGGTACCACAGGCTGCATTTACCATGTAATACAGACATAGCTTTTAGTACACTAAATGCACCCATGAATTTAAGAAAACAAGCTTGACCAAACTCAAGTTTTCCTGCAAACTTACTGTACCTCTACAATGAAGGCTTTTCGTTCAGATTCACTTTCTATTTGTTTAATGGCTACATCTTTAGCTCGCCATTTTGCCTTGCAGACCACACCAAAGGCTCCTCTTCCAACAACCTAGAAAAAGATAACATGAAACACTTGAGTTAAAACTTGAAATGGTTTCATTTGCTGTGCAGGACTTCACAAACAGAAAAGAAATTTAACTTCGAAAACTGAAGACATGATCGAGTTTTGCAGCAGCAATTTAATATTATGCCGTCAAGGCATAACTAGTGCTCAGCTAAGCTCCCTACAGAGATCATTTACAGAAGAACTGGAAAATACATACAAATAATTTTATTACTAACATGCAGTAACAGTATTTCATAAAAATATGATCTTAATTATCTCAAATGAGAAAACCACACTTCCCAAAACTACAAAGCTCTTCACTAGAAAGTCATAGTTATTTATGACTTTATCCAATAAAAAAAGGAACAGATTCTTGGGGCGGGTGGGGTAGGAAGGAATATTCAAAATTAAAATATAGAGATGCAACATAATTAAAGGACCCACAAAATGTTAAAACATAATATTCTATCAGTACACTGATTCATATAGGTTCATTAGTGAATTCACTCCTTAACAGGACAGTTTCTTAAAAGAAAAGTATGCTTTGTAGGAAATCAGTGAATAATCACACATTCCCAATGCTGAAACCATGCAAACTGCCTGCTGCCTGAATGTTCATCCTTTGAGGAAATAACATTTAATAATTTAACCTTTTTTGAGGTGCCCCCCGATATAGTAATAATCTGGAGTATAAGTTAAGAGTACTGATCCAGAGAAAGCAACTTGGTAGCCAGGAATGTACAAGCACCAGACTACTTGTCACGGCTCCACGTCAAAACAAACTGACTATCATGTATGTAAACCATGCTTGGCTTAGGTTAGGATTTGCCTTGAGAACGGGGTAGATAAGGCTTCAAGTGCACAGCTCAAGACCTGCTAAACTTTCATGCTGAATATAGGGAAGTTTGCAATCAAGGGCCCAATTTGAAGAGTTGAAAAATATAAATCAAAAAAGATCAAGTTTTTGCATTAAGAAAGATGAGAAAAAGGGAAGTACGCTCAATATTTTGTAAGGTTACATATGGATATGAGAGATGGCTACCCAGGAACAGCCATCAATGGCATTTACCTCTTCTGGTTTCCTTAACACACACAAAAAAAGTATTTTTCTCTTTCACATTACAGCATGCACTTAGTCTTCCAGGGTCTCCTGGCTTCTCACCATCCACAGCAGTGGTTCATAAACCGAGTTTACCACAAGATATCCACAACAGACGCACAGAACATGACCCATTCCACCCCATGCAAAAAGGGACTTCTTGATTGCAACCTCCTCCCCCAGCTACAGTATAGGGCCTTGACTCTTGTCTTGATACCACACACGCCAACTATTTTCTTGCAGTGCACAACGGAAATTGGAGACACCAGCCCATGTGAATGATAGTCAAGCAGCCTAGGAGAATAGTACATAAACTAATTGGAAAGGGTGAGTCACCTGAAGACCTAAAAGTCCAAAACAGACTCTCTTGGTATTTCCTCTTCTCTCTCAGATCATGCTTTGAATAAAACTGCCCAATTTCTTGGGGTTGGCAGGCCCCCCACCTTCTTTTACTGGCATAAAAGAGTTGTCCATTACAACCCCTGTACCCACCGCGCACAGCACATGACCGGACCTACAATTTAAGAAAAATCTCATCAGTCTGTGTGTCTCCCGTAAGTGTGCATTTCACAGGGGAGCTGATTTACTGAGCACATGGAAATCATCTACTGTGCAAGCACATGCAACTCAGATAGCAGCCGCCTGCTCACGCCTCAGAACTGCGAAGGACAGAAAGTCAACAAGAGAACGATGCCACAGAGCCACTCGGGCAGGATGAACTGCACTGGCAGCAGCAATTCAAGGTCTGCTGTTCCCCTACGATGCGGAGGAACCCTAACTGGTCAAGTAACTGGGAAGAACTCTTCCCCCGCTTACAGAAGAGGAGGTGTGTATATAATAATTTCTCCTAGGTGAATATAATTGGCTTTATGGAGGAAGGCTGAGTGAGACTCCTTTTAGAAGGCTCCTTTTCCCACTGTACCTTTTCTCACACTGAAGCAATTTGACTTTTTTTTTTTTTTAACTTAGCCTGAATCATTTACAACAATTTGTGATCATCAGGCTTACTTTTTTTGGCTAGTCATATCTTTCCTTGCTGAAAATACTTGTGTATGTCCACACATACAAACATATTATATGTATTACAGATACAATTTTATTATTATGACTAATATATACTACATATATTTTTATATATTAAATGTATTTTTAGACTTGTATAAAAATAAAATTACATGTACAACAAAAAAAGAAAGCCCAATCATCTCTTCCATTTGACTTCATACAGTCAAATTCAGCCCACAAGCCAATACCATTGCATACTGTTCCCCTGAAGATAAATACATGACTATGTGCAAGTTTAACACCAAGAACTGGTACATGTATTTCCAGTTCACATACTACAGAAACCATTATTTTCCAGTTTTTTCTGTATTTTTAAATAACATTTCTATTCAATGAAGAAACTAAGATAAACTAGTGTACCACTCAATGTGATGCTTTACATTGTGCCATGAATGTCATAATACTTGGGTTCTAGTTGAAAAGTGGAATAAAGTCCAAAAAATCAGATGTACTTTATGAAGTCCTGCTGATGACTGGGAAGGGAGGGGGAAGAAAAAAAAAAAAATAAAAAAAAAAAATCAGTGTCTGACACCAACAGGCAGAGCTTACCAGGTAATCTAAATCTTACTTACGCAACAGAAAGCTGTAAGAGACCATCAGATACATAAATTTTATGGTTGGTGAAAAGAGTTTGATAAATGATTATGCAGTCAAGGTTTCATAACAATTTATCAGTGACTTGGTGCCTGCTTAGGCAGAGGGTTGAACTTGAGAAGAGGACACGAATGCACTGAATATTTACCTAGGATACAGGGAAAACAGAGAAGAGTCAATCCTCCATTAAAGCAGCTCAGCCTCTTGGACAGCATACGAAAGCAGCAACCGTCAGAAGCAATGACGGATCTGATATAAATTTGAAGTTTACCGTATGTGAAAGCCCAGTATGTCTTTCCTACTTAATCTGGAAAAAGTATCTTACTCATCATAGAAACATCCTTTATACAACACAATGGAGCTTGTGGTGGATTCGACTTACGTTTTGTTTTCTTCCTTTTAAGTTTTCACTGACCTTATTCTTTAAACGAGCAAGTCTTAGAACTTGTCAGAACAGTTTAAACACCACGTAGTTTCCCTCACCACCGTGTGCTGGAACTAAGTAACTTAATAGCACAGGAGGGAGGTGCTGCCTGAACTTTAGTTTCTTCATGCTCATTCCTTCTTGTCCCCTGCTACTGGTGCCACACCATGTGTTTGGGCAGTAGTGCATATTCTGAATTATATGAAGCACAGTTAATGGAATTATTGACACAACAAATCAATAAACAGAAGTTGATCTGTAGCACTGTGTATGTCTGGAAAACGATCTAAAAATAAACACATTCTTTTGGTAAAAGATTTTATCCCTCTAAATATCTTCTAGGAGAAAAAAGGAAAATATAGGGCATATGACACATTTAGAAACAGAACATCAGTGCTTCTGCTTTTCCACAGAATAGAATTAAGTTTGTCAAGAACCACTCCATTAGTACATGGCACAGACACATTTTATAAACTAGCAGAAATGCTTGAAGAGCTTTAAAGATTGAAAGCATATGCAAATTTATTCCTCTCCCTATAAAATTCATACAAGTAAAAAGTTAATGTTTTACTGTGGGACAAAGTGACACGGGGAAAGAGAGTGCTGTTTGCATGTTTTCCAGATAATGGATTTGGAGTTTTATTTAAAGAATATGAACCATACGAGATCCCTGGAACAAACATTATCTCTGCCTCTGTGTACAAATAGTATCAAATGCTGTACATAAACAAAGATACATGATACTGACTTTTAAGTATGTAGACTATACTGACTGTAAGTATGTAGACCAGAGATCATGCAGGTAACAGATATTGCAGATATGCTGAGCCCTCGGGGATGTATTTTGTCCAAAGTGATGTGACCAATAATTCCGGTCCCCTCCCCCCCCAATAAAACAACAAAAATTTATCTCTGTGAATTCAGAATTTCAACTTTGCATTAACTGCACAGGTCTTCTACTCACTCAAAAGTATAAAGATACAAAGTTTTCATCTCTATCCACTAAGTTTCCATTTTAGTTAGCTCCACATGCTGGATATCTAGTGCTTTTCTTTGTTAAAAACCCTTGCTGGATATACAAGACTGCAATAAAATAAAATAGCTGCCTGGTTAACAGATGTAGTATTCTCTGGAGAACTGTCTTCATAATTTGCAGTACCTACATGACACGTTTGTTTACGATTTTGGGAAGCAAGACAAGGAGTCAAAAGAACCCAACACAAACCCAACAAAACCCGTGCTTCCAAACAGACAGCAGTCTCTAATTATCTTTAATATCTATGTCCCTTTGGTTACCATTGTATTTGCAAATGAAAGGTTCATGCAAACTGAACTTTGGGATCTCTCAAGCTTCAGACACAATGCAAGACAGGGTGGTGGTAGGGAAATGTTGTACAATGCTTTGTAAAAACAGAAACACATTTTTAAATGCTTCCATTCTTTCTACCTACCAGAATTCCAGCAGTACCAACAAAGCACACTAGTATTTTCAGTTTTTCACGCATCTGCCAGCATGACACATAGAAAGCATACAGAAAAAAAAAAAAAAAAAAAAACCTGGAAAAAGAAGCCATGAACAACAGTTTACAGCCCCTAAAAATATATGCCTACATTTTCTATCATTCATTCAACCAGGCTCAAATTCCAACTTTGGTTCCTCTGTGTGTGCTATGCTTTATTAAGCAGGTTGAAGCAAATCGGCCCCATGCCACACATGACTGTGGCCAATACCCTGGCAGCACTTTTAGGAAGGAGTTCAGATCTGCCAATTCTTACAGCTATGTCCTTTGACTGGTTAAGTTTATTTGTACTAGT